GAGTGGGAACATTAGTAAACTGTTGGAATCCAAAGCTGTCCATGCAGGATGAGAAGTCTTTGGTAAGAGGGTTATTAATATTATCCATGTGGATGTTGAAATCTCCCAGTACTATATTGTTTGGTGAGAGGGTAGACAAATAAGTAAGAAGAGCAGCAAAGTTGTTTAAAAACTGGTTATTGGGTTTAGGGGGACGGTAGACAGTTGTAATGATGGTAGGAGTACGACCATACAGTTGACACACGATGGATTCAAAGGAGGAGAATGTTGAAACAGACACCGGCGAGACTTTCCATTTCTATCTAATTATCGCAAGACCTCCTCCTCGGCCGGATTTGCGGGGTTGACAGATGTAAACAAACCCCGTAGGAGTGGATTTGTTGAGTTGAGAGAAGTCGTTTGGCTGTTGCCATGTCTCGGTTAAACAGAGAAAGTCAAACTTACGGTCGGTGAGGATATCCTGGATGAGATGTCCTTTGCTCTTGAGTGAGCGGATGTTAAGCAGACCAAAGTTGACGGAGTTGTCGCATCTGGGAGGAGTGTTAGCCAACCGGGCTAGGTAGGCTAGCACACTGTGGTCAGCGACCCGGCCAGTGTTTTGTGGGGGGTGACGAGAGGGGGACCAGATGGACTTTGTTGTTTTCGAGGTGTCTGTGGATGTTCCGACGAGACCCATGGTGGATATATCTCCGGCGGGGCAGGAAAGCAACGTCTAGGAGGAGAGGCGATGCAGCCGGCGAGGGTGCAGACGGGCGGGGATGAAGCTGGAGTAGCTCAACGGCGGAGAATTGGAGCAGGCCCATCGCAGGTTGGCGAAGGAAATGGCAGCAAAGTCCAGAGAAGAAAGGACCCGGAGGGGATCCCACCAGCCAACACCGTGGCGACAAACCCCGCGGAAACTCGGTCGAAATGGACACAGGACCGGTGACAGTTCTGGATCAGTATGCTGCCAAAAAAAAAACCCAAACTAAAAACTTAAAGTGATAGCTTAAAAAGTTACGGGCGAGTAGCGGCAGCAAGTCGCGCTAGCGTTCACCCCCCCAGAAGTCCAAGACCTGTGTAGCCTATTGCCTCCATTAGACAATATCTGGTAGACCAATGGAGGAAAGAGGTTGTGCCACTTGTGGTCAATCATATTACCACTATGTGGTGCTGCTGCTCCATGATTCAGCGGTGTTGGATGATATGTTATGAACTTTTTGTCACTGGGACAGGTGTTTCACTCTTCATTTCACACAAAAAAGCAAGGGTGTTGCCATTCTCCTTCATCGCAGTCTTCCTTTTACATTGGATAGAATGCTAAAACACACAGAAGGCTGCTATATACTTCTGTCCGGCAACTTATATGGAGAAAATGAGATTTATGGATGTATATATGCCCCTACTGCTTATGACCCTTCCTTTATCCGTCAACTTTTTTCAGATTTTACCTCTTTTTCCTTTGCATATATAGTGTTAGGAGGTGATTTTAATTGTGTTATAGACCCAAAGGTTGATGTCTCCACCTCATTCTACTCTCTCTAAAAAGTCTGAAAAATTAAAAGGATTTCTTACTGATATTGAGCTTTATGACGCCTGGTGGATACTACATCCTACAGATAAAGACTACTCTTTCTATCCCACATAAGGCCCACACTAGAATAGACTATTTATTCTCATCACAATTTCTGTTAGACAGGATAAATAACTGTATAATTGGTACCAAGGTCCTCTCTGATCATGCTCCTATTAGTATTATCTCCCCTCCTTAAAGGGTTCCAGCTTGTAGACATTGAAGACTAAATTCATTACTCAGTAACCAGTAGTTTGTGGATTATGCCATAAGCAATTCAAATAATGTGAAAACCTGAGAAAGAAAAACACACCACAAGGAAGAAGCTCCACTCAGACCCATCACACCTGTAGTGGCTCGGAAGGTGGCAGCAGTGATCACACCTCCAAAGGTTCGGGAGGCATCGGCGACGGACACACCTCCAGTGGTTCAAAAGGCGACAGCAGTGATTACTCCTCCAGAGGTTCGGAAGCTGTTGGTGACGGACACGTTTTGCTTCCTCCTAGGCCTAGTTTTTTGGTTTTGCTTTTTGGAGAGGCCTGTTTTTCCGTTTTTATGCACTTTTTCAAAACTGTGTTGTTAGTTTTCTGTTGAAATTATTGCCTCGTTCTGTCATGCCTTGTTCCCATGCCTCCTTGCGTTTCTTGTTTTTGTGTTTGTGATCCTGAGGTGCACCCAGTTCTGCACCCCCCCACCCCCCGCCCATGTCAGGGAGTTGATGGTAGGTTTTGCAACATCCGGTTGAGGTCTATTGGAGGATGGGTACTGTTTATTTCCCCTTCCTGTCTTGTCTTGGAAACAGTCTGAGCAGGGACACCCAGACTTCCCTCTCCCTCAACACTTTCTCCAGCTCTTCTGGGGGGACCCCAAGGCGTTCCCAGGCCAGCCGAGCGACGTAATCGCTCCAGCGTGTCCTAGGTCTTCCCCTAGGTCTCCTCCCAGAGGGGTGGCACCCGAGCATCCGTGGGGCATGCGATGTAAATGCCCAAGCCACCTCAGCTGACTCCTCTCGATGTGGAGGAGCAGCGGCTCTACTTTGAGCTCCTCTCGTGTGACAGAGCTCCTCACCCTATCTCTAAGGGAGCGCTCGGCCACCCTGCGGAGAAAGCTCATTTCAGCCGCTGGTATCCCGGATCTCGTTCTTTCGGTCATGACCCAAAGCTCATGACCATAGGTGAGGGTAGGAACGTAGATTGACCGGTAAAT